TTTTTTTTTTTCTTTTTTTTTTTTTTTTTTTGGCATTTAGTTATTTTCTTGGATTGAATTGTCAATTTATTCATGCAAGAAAGAGAAATTGCCCAACAAGACAAACTAAAGTTCAGTGACCAATCATTTATTTTACCCCATGTTTTGATATTCTTATTTATATGTGTTTTGATAATGATTTCTGTTGATGTGAAATAGTTGATGAAAGTACTGAAGTGTATATAGTGGCTCGCCATTTATACTTCATGTCGATTATAAGGCTTTGAGTTATTAATGCTTGCAAACCTTATCTTGAGCTCACATGAGGTTTGGTTTGGTGGCATATGCATATGGTCATTATTAATCCTTCGTAAGTATGTATGTTAACAACCTGCTTGATGGTGTGTGAACAAATTGATTATATTCACGTGAGGCACCCAAGAGTGTATTTGGTGAAAGGTTTATAAATTCATCGATGCCCACGTGGAAAAAAAAAAAAAGGAATTGTTGGAGGAAAGTGGAGTTTACTAACTTAGATTGGCTAAGGCTTTTAAAGAGGACAATTCTAATATGAAGAAGGAAGTGAAGAAAAAGAAACTTATATTTCTCAACTCTAAAACTTACACAATTTTGGCTTGTTACAAAATGGAGGACATTACCCTTTTATATAGTGTTTACATGAAACTTCTAGTCCACATAATATGTTAGAGACTCATAGACCACATATTTATATGAGACTTTTAGACCATACATTTGGACATGATATTTTCCTAGAATTCTCTAGAGAAAGTTTATAAGACCACATAATTTTATTGACACATTACCACATTTATCACAACATATTTTACTTAGATATTTATATAGATTTTTTTAGTAGATATTTATCTAGATTTTTTAGATAATATTTCTAGAAATGCTAGGTATGTTGGACTTTTTAATTGATTTAAGCCTATGGACAAAATCCTTAAGACTATATTATTTAGTTCAAAAATCAAGTTTGCCATTCAACATCCCCCCTTAAACTTGATTTTACTACTCCAAGTAGAGTTCTTAACTTGCGGAACACGTCATGCTTGAGTGACTTAGTGAGAATGTTGGCAATCTACTCTTGAGAGGTTATATATTTTAGCTGCACTTCTTTCTTTGCAATGCTTTCTCTTATGAAGTGATATCTTGTATCAATGTGCTTGATTCTATCATAGAATACTAGATTTTTTGCCAATGCCAATGTCGATTTGTTATCAACATGGATTTCGGTTGGTTCTTCTTGTGAAACTACAAGTGTCTTCAACAAGTTTCTAAGTAAAATCGCTTGGCAAACACTTGATGTAGCTGCAACATATTTAGTTTCACATGTAGATATTGCTACGATCTATTGCTTCTTTGAGCTCCCAATGAAAGCTGTGTCGCCCAAGTAAAACACATACCTAGTCCTACTTTTTCTATCATCACTGTCTCTGTCCCAATCGCTGTTACTACATCCAACAAGTTTGAATTCATTAGATGATGAATAGACTAAGCCATAATCAAGCGTACCTTTGATATAGCGAAGAATTCTCTTTGCAGCTTTCATATGGGTCATGGTAGGTGTCTCTATATATAGCGACTGACGAGCCCAACTCCAAAAAGGATATTTGGTCTTATGCACGCCAAGTATCTTAGACTTCCAATAAGACTCTTAAAAAGTGCTGGGTCTACTTTTTCACCTTCATCATTTTTTGGCAACTTGGTTCCACATTTGATGGGAGTGCATACAAGCTTGCAATCCTCCATATTGAATTTCTTTAGAATTTCTTTCATAAACTCTGCTTGTGAGATAAAGATGCAATCCTCCATTTGTTTTACCTCAATCCCAAGATAGTAGGCCATGAGGCCGATATCTGTCATTTCGAATTTTTGAGCCATGACATTCTTAAACTCAGTGATTATACTTTGATTATTTTCTGTGAATATAAGATCATTTACATACAAACAAACAAGCAAAATACCTCATTTCTCATTTATCTTTGTGTAAAGGGCATACTCATGAGGGCATTTTGTGAAGTCATTTTCTTGAAAGTACTTGTCAATTCTACTATTCCATGCCCTTGGAACTTGTTTCAACCCTTATAAAGCATTTTTTAGTTTTAAGATTTTACCTTCATGTCCTTTTATTTTGTAGCTCATTGGTTGGTCCACATAAATTTTTTCTTTAAGATAACCATTTAGAAAAGCGGATTTCACGTTCATTTGAAAAATCTTTCACTTATTTTGCGCTGCAAGAGAGATAATTAATCTTATATTTCTAAATGAGCAACAAGGCCAAATACCTCTTCATAGCCGATTCCCAACCGTTGATTGTAGCCTTTGGCAACTAAACTTGTTTTGTATCTTTCTACTTCTCCTTTAGCGTTTTTCTTTGCCTTATACACTCACTTAACTCCGATTGCTCTTTTTCTTTTGGGAAGAGTTGTCAACTTCCACGTGTCATTTTTCTCAATGGCCTTAATCTCTTCATCCATGACATCTCTCCATTTTTTATTTTGTACCGCTTCTTTATACCTTATTGGCTCACAATCGGCAAAAAGATAAAAAGTGTGAGATCATTTTAATTTTCTGTTACCTCATATAACTCTTGTAGGCTCCTCATCCATGGTGTCCTTTCGCTTGAGCTTTCTCCTTGTGAAGATAATGGGGAAGTATCTCCATGAGTAGGTGATAGAGGTGGACTGATAAGCTCTTACTGCTCTCCATTCTCTTGTTCTTCTTCCTCAAAGAATGGTAAGAGCTCGTAGTCTTGTTCTTGGACACCCCAATCCCAAGCTCATTCTTCATCAAACTCGACATCTCTTATGGTGATCTTCTCTTTGCCTGGATTATACAACTTGTGGCCTTTAGAACGAGAGTCATAGCCGATAAAGACATACATTTCGCTTTTGTCATCTAACTTGGACCGCTTTTGATTTGGTACATGAGCATATGCAATGCTCCCAAATACTCATAGGTAAGGGATGCTAGGCTTTCTTCCACTCCATGCTTTTTAGACAGATACACAACGTAATTAACAGCTTCAGCCCAATGTTCTTTGGGCAATCTCTTACTTTTAAAAATGGATCTATTCTTTCTTTTGGCTACTCTATTTTGTTGTGGAGAGTATGGTACCGTCAATGGGCGACGAATTCCATTTTCACAATATTTCTCAAACTCTTTGGAAGTAAATTCTCCTCCTCTATCTGATCTCATGGCTTTTATGCTATAGTCACTTTCTTTTTCAACAAGAGCTTTAAACCTTTTCAAAGTTCTAAAAACTTTCGATTTTTTAAAAAAAAATAGACGCAAGTCTTTCTACTAAAATCATCAATAAAAAGAACAAAGTAATCGCTCTTACCGAGAGAGCTTGGATTGATTGGCCCACAAACATCCGAGTGTACAAATTCTAGCAGTTTCTTAGCTCTTTTAGATGCTTCTTTTGGAAAACTTTTCCTCGAATGTTTTCCAAGTAAGCATCCTTCACATAATTGATCCGCATGATTAATTGAAGGCAAACCTTTCACCATCTTCTTTTTAGTCAAACAACTTTAAGCCTCCAAAATTAAGATACTCAAATCTCAAGTAAACAAGCTTTTAAGCATTTAACAACATCATTATGAATACTTAACGCAAACATTTTATTTCTTGTCATAGGGACTTTAACAATCGAATTTTCTCTTTGATCTCTTATTGAAAGACCATAATCTTTCAAATGAATATCATAGCACTTCTCTATGAGTTTTTCCAAACTTAAAATGTTATTCTTCATATTGGGCACATAATAGGCATATGCGGAAGTCTATAAATTGTATGTATTCTAAAGAAAAGTATACAAAATTGTATGTAGGCAGTAGAAACCATATGAAAATAACGCTTAAATAAATTTAAATGAATTCTAAAACTCATAACCTTCTTACAGTATGTATAGATTGATGGCTTCTCCTTACGTTTTCTGTCTGTATACTCCTTTACCTCACTTTGATGAACCTTTTTGGACTTTCTTCCCTTAACGGTCACTTGCCTGATGGTACTTTAGTCCCATTGATTTTGTAAAGATCCGTACATGGTTTGTATATAGAACTGAAAAGTATGAAGAATTGACTAAAACATGAAAGTTTTATTCAATAAGAAGGTTTAAGAGTATGAAGAACTCTTAAACTTATTTAATTACATGAAAAGATCCAAAAATGGATCTACAGTCTTTGAAGGTTTAGCCTCTCAGTGTATACATTTAGGAATTCAGAATAAGAAAATTTTTCTCTAAAAATTTCCCCTCCTTCCTTCTTTGTGAAGTCCTCATTTTATAGTCGTCTGGAAAGATTCCTTTCTGCTATCCTTCATTTCTTGGTCATTGTCAACAGTTTTTCTTTTGCCAAAAGCAAAAGTAATGATAAAATGACATGGCAAGAATTTTGTCTTTTTCCTCAATTTTTCAAAGATGCTCCCTCTTTTCAAAAAGCAGGCTCCTCTTTTGTCTGAAGTTGATGAAATTTTCAAAAAGCAAATTTCTTTTTGAAAATTACTCTGATTCATCCTCCTTAGTCTTGCTTTCGGTGGATGTCTTTTCAATAGTGGATCCAATCCCTCCACTTGTCTCTCCTCCAGTTCCCCAAGATAAGTCTTCTGGAGATTTATATTTTTCTTCAAGCAAATGGCACCATTTGCATTCGTGATATTTGCCAAGACTCTGCTTCAAAGATTTGCACAGATGTCTTTGGTAGTCTGATGGTGAATTGGGTAAATTATAAAAATTATTTTCAAAATTGCAAAGAATTTTTATTCCATCACTTTGGATTGTTTTCCCTGTCTTGCTAGTAATGAAGATGAAATCAGTTGAATAATTTATCTTGATTTTAGACTCATTGTTGAAAGATTTTAATCCAGTTAAAATCCTCTGGTATGAAAGATTTCTCCATTCTCTCATTATGGAGTCATTAGTTCTTTCAACTTTTCCTTGAATTGGCTTTTCCAAAAATATTTCTGGTATTGTCTTGATTTGAATATGATGATATCCTTTGATCAGATATCCTTCCTTATCCCAAAAAGGAATCGTACTGTTAATCTTCAGCATCATCTGTAGATTTTGGTCTTTAATAACAATTCTTTTAAAGTCTTTTAAAACTTTAATTAAATTGCTATCCAATTTCTGGATTTCATCCATTGATTCACTTAGAATAATCATTTTGATTAAACGACAGTGAAAAGCAATCTGCACCATTGTTGAATTTGCATCTTCAAAGAAGATATACTGTCCAAATTTTTTATCTATTGTACCATAATATCCTTTTTTAGGAACAGATGGTCCAACAATTCTTGCTTCTTCCTCATATGTGAGAAAGTCTTCAAACGTAATTCCACTAAGAAAATGATACTCAAAAACCCCAAGAAGAAAAAACCAAAATCAGCAAGACTGATGGTGATAAAAATACAAAAATTAAGATTAATATCAGTTCTACAGATAGCGAAAGTAAAGAAGAGCCTACTCAAGCTCAGTGTACTCAAGTACATAAGGAAATTCAAATTCCAAAAACTGATGGACCAAAAATCCAAATACATACTGGAGAGTATTTTAAGCCTCAGTGTTCGCAAGAACAAACGGATATTCAAAATCCAAAAGAAGAAAATCAACCCTTGGTTGGTATAAATTCTTCAATGGTGGGAAAGAAATTTTATGTGATCTTCAATGGACCCCAAAAAGGTTTCTATACAAAGTGGGCACAAGTTGAACCACTTGTGAAAGGAAAAATTTATAAACACAAAAGTCTCAAAACTTATACTGAAGCCCAAGAAGCTTTTGCTAAATTTCATGAAGAAAAAGGCCAAACCCCATTGCCATACAAATAATTATTTGAATTTGACAATATTCATTTGAGACCAAATTATTGCCAAAATCCAACTCCATTAAGAGCCAGACCCAAATTTCCAGCCCAACTCTTTAATTCACCAAATGCAAATCAACGAGTTAGAATGATATCTTTTAAAGATACAGTGGAAACCCAAACAGAATCCATTCCCAGTAGATTCAAAAGAATTGGGAAAATACCAAAACCACAAGAGAGTCATTTTCTTAGTGGAATTACATTTGAAGATTTTCTCACATATGAGGAAGAAGCAAGAATTGTTGGACCATCTGTTCCTAAAAAAGGATATTATGGTACAATAGATAAAAAATTTGGACAGTATATCTTCTTTGAAGATGCAAATTCAACAATGGTGCAGATTGCTTTTCACTGTCGTTTAATCAAAATGATTATTCTAAGTGAATCAATGGATGAAATCCAGAAATTGGATAGCAATTTAATTAAAGTTTTAAAAAACTTTAAAAGAATTGTTATTAAAGACCAAAATCTACAGATGATGCTGAAGATTAACAGTACGATTCCTTTTTGGGATAAGGAAGGATATCTGATCAAAGGATATCATCATATTCAAATCAAGACAATACCAGAAATATTTTTGGAAAAGCCAATTCAAGGAAAAGTTGAAGGAACTAATGACTCCATAATCAGAGAATGGAGAAATCTTTCATACCAGAGGATTTTAACTGGATTAAAATCTTTCAACAATGAGTCTAAAATCAAGATAAATTATTCAACTGATTTTATCTTGGTCACAAGCAAAACAGGAAAAACTATCCAAAGTGATGGAATAAAAATTCTTTGCAATTTTGAGAAGAATTTTTATAATTTGCCCAATTCACCAGCAGACTACCAAGGACATGAGTCTTGGCAAATATCACGAATGCAAATGGTGCCATTTGCTTGAAGAAAAAGATAAATCTCCAGAAGACTCATCTTGGGGAACTGAAGGAGGGACTGGATCCACTACTGAAAAGACATCCACCGAAAGCAAGACTAAGGAGGATGAATCAGAGTAATTTTCAAAAAGAAATTTGCTTTTTGAAAATTTCATCATCTTTTGACAAAAGAGGAAGTGAATCAAGATTTTATCTTTTCCTTTCACTGGGACACTGAGATCTTGGATTCATCTCCAAAGGTATTGTTGCCGCTTACTAATTCATTAAGCTCTACAAATATGTTCTTTCTTCTACACATATGTTTGCTTGCTCTGTATCCACATGCCAAGTGTTCTTTTCTCTGCTTTCTTCACCTTTGTAAGCCAACAGTAGTGTCGAATCCACTTCACTTTCCCGACAAGCATAGTTGGCTTTCTTCTCAACTTGGTTAGTAATATTTATACATTTTGAAGCATATTTACCA